TAAAAAAAAAAAAAAAAAAAAAAAAAAAAAAGGGGGGGGGGGGCAAATTAATTTTGAAAGTAAAATTGGACTTAAAAGCATCTACATACAGTGGTTTGTTACCTTAGATTTATACTCCTGGGGTTCATTCCTATCTGCAAGAATCTCTTTGGCTGCCCAGCTGGGCACCGCAGAATGCAAATGCACCTTTTTTGGGAACAACTAAATTCCTAGTGTAGACAGAACATGAGATGATGCCTAATCCATATAACACCTGATTTCTTTCTAATAATTGACTGTGCAACAGTTAACTTTACTGTCATAACAGCTGCTTCATTTTGTCTACTCTCACTAACTTTTAAAATTCTACCTGTGGCAGTTCTCATATTTTTGTTTTTGCACTCTTTAATGGCTTGTATAAAAAGTGATTTTTTTTAACTGGTGATATCATCTGCCCCTGAATTTCTTTATTTAATTTACAGAGCATTTCTTTCCTAATAGTCTCTCCTGGATTTTAAATTTTAAATGACATTTGTTTTTGCTAGTCATTGGAATCTTTCCAATATGTGCTGAACTGCAGAGACTTTCTTGAAGTTTACTTTCTGAAGATGCACTGCATCCATCTTTATCATGTTAAGAACAGCAACAAAGTAAGCAAAGACTAAGAATACAGAGAGTAAATGAGAATTTTTAAATCGTATTCTTTTGTAAGATAACTGGTAGAACTAAAAGCTTCTGAACCCTTTTGAGCAGATTCCATGGATCCTTCCCACTTACCTAGTTAACAAGGTGTTAGTTGACTGTTGTCGATTTGTATATTTTGAAATCAAGACCACACACCCCTACATAAATTGTTACTGCTTTTAGTAGACCCCAAGACAGTAGCTTTCTCAGTCAGCTAAGGCCCCCAACAGATGATTAAATAATCACACAAGTAGAACCTGAGAGATTTTATACCAAATCCCAAAAATCACATGACCTGCCATGCCAGATATTCATGGCAGGATGCATTATTTTTAGGATCAAGCATAACATTCCTTAAATGACAACTGCATGACTGTCAGCTCTGGGGATACTCCCATTCAAATCCCTACGATCAGCTGATGTTGGAATGGGGCGTGGGGTAGCCTTCGAGTCTGAGAGAGCCATTCCATAGCTGATCCCTGAGATCTGAACCAGGACACGGCGCTGCCTGACCCAGTGGAAGGATTTCCCCCTCTGCCTATGCCAACACAGTTCCTGCCTTCCTTTCCTGCATGTTAATCATGTACCTCAGTTGCACCAAAAATGTAAAGTCTGCTAAGGCTGTAACCTAATTGAAGATCAGGTGTAAATCTGAAAGTCTTCTCTATTTATCTTCAGAAATAATAGAAAAATCAAATGTGCTTCCTTTTATACATTTATTATTTTTAAATACAGTGGCTTTTCTAAGGCTGAAAATGTTCAAGTTCCTTAGCAAATGCAGAAAGCTTTATGCTTGCTTTGTCAAGACTGTCGGTAACATTTTAAAAACTTCTGTGCCAAGCATTTTTTGTTTGAGGTTAACGGCATGATACATTGCTCTTAAAACTGCCTTGATGCAAGGAAACCTTTTGTCTCCCATCCCTTCACCCCCTCCTTCCCTCATTATGCTACTACCATAGCTGTTCCTATTTGCTTTTGGGGGGGATTTGAGAAGTTTCCTTATTTTAGGGGTCCCTACCACTTAAAACACCCAGGAATAATAATACAGGCAGCTGTTTATATCCGGAATGTATCATCAGCCATTTGTCATCCTGCTAGATTTCAGTGGTAAAGGCATCATTTATCCTGTGTTAATTGTGCTGGCTATTTTGGGCAGGCTCAGCAGTTTTACTGCTAATAACAGCTGTGTGCTTTTACCATCCAACTCCATAGTTGGACTGTAGTTTTCACTTTGAGTGAGGAATCACACTTAGAACATGAACATTTTTTTTTCACATTCATATTATTACTATTCTGCTTGGCCTCTGGTTAAAAATAAACAAAAGCCACAGGAAAAAGATTTCCAGGAAAAATCTCAGAACTTTCTTTTGCAAATGAATGCGTCTTTTAGTGTTGTCATTGTTTAAAAACTATACCATCTGTTTTCAGATTATTGGCTATCAACCACTTATTGTGCTGAATAGCAATTACATGTGTAATTGACAAATGGTGAATTATTGTTGGAGGTTCGATGATTTACCCAAGATCAAACTTCAAGACATTGTGATCTGTCTTGTACTAGAATTCTTAGTTCTGAACATCCAGTGATGTTAAACAGTGTTATTTGCTTTACTGTTCCATCTGATGTGGGTTTTATAGTGATTTTTCATATTAATAAGATGCATTTCTGTAAAGTTTTAGGCTATGATAGTAAGACTTTGTAGATGTAAAAAAAACAAAAAAACCCCAATTGTATAGTTTATTTTTAATTTTACTTCCCGTGAGGGGCAAAGTGTAGTACTCTTAGTCCTGTGTGTGTTTTAAGATCTAGTATTTTCATAGACCTAGCACAATAGTTTTTATTCTGTTACAAAATCCTGACAATATGCATTCACTGAATACAAGGAAGAAAAATATGTATGAAATATCAAAAGAATATCCTGTGTTGGCTTTATGGAGATAGACGTGTCACAAAAAACAGCCAGCATAAACTAACCCCCACCCCCCAAACTACAGTGATTTGCAGTTTGCTCTGGCCATTTAAAAAAAAAATCTGAGCAAGTTCTCAAGGCTAACTGCTCAGTTTCAAAAACATAATTGGTGAATAATATCAGACTGGGTCAACAACTTTTTCCACGTTGCACTTTAAAAATAATTCATAAACATAAGTAACACCTTTAGGCAGAATGGTAGCCAGGCAGCTCTGCATCTTGGGCAGCTTCTCAACTACTGGAATAGCAGTGGCTTTTGCAGTGCTGATCACAGAGGAACAATTACCTGTTTCCATGGTTGCACCTGTTTTTGCAGCTGTCCTGTCCCACCCCCAGAAGGTGACATCTAGGGCTGCTATGTAGGTCTACTTCCTCTTTCTTCCCCTCAGTTGCACTAGTGCCTTCAAGAAAGGTAGCTTTTATTAAATGGATTAAGAATTGTTTATTTTCTATATCCTAAAATAAACATCAAATATAGTAGCAATCATTAAATAGCTATTTTATATGCATTTTTCCCTGTATCATGTCATCTTTTTAATTTCTGCAGCCACACTCAAATGTAAGCAGGCTTTGTTACTGCTTTATTTGAAGTCATGCATACAGTCCTCTTTTATATTTAAAAAATTCAGTTACGGTATTTAAATATGTTTATATTTTTGTCTGTATTTTGAGTTCAGTTTCATCTTAGTTTTATGTTTTTTCCTTTATTTTTTTTATTTTTCTTTTATTTACCATTTGATGTGGTAGTGCAAAATCAGGGTAAGTTTATATTTATTTTATCAGGATTGTTGTGGGTATATGAGAATTTTTTGTTTGAAAATTATAATCTGGTGTATTAAATGCTCTGTTTATTCAATACATTTATGTGCTTTTCGTTTCCCCCACAAAAGGAGATGTTAGGCAGTAAACACTTTGCTAAAGTATTCATAGTGAAAGACCAATGATACTTAATCAAATGGCTTTATAATATTTCTGTTAATATCTTGTCTTACACTGTGAAGTACTTGCTATTTAATTTAAATTATTATACAGCATTACTTAAAACTTGAACTTCAGTTGTATTTTAGAAAGCTATTTAATAGTATTAGATTTTTTTCTTTCTTCAGTGTTATGGCTGTCTATTTGTAAATTAGGCTATTGTGCTTTATCGCATAAGACCTTCATGCTTTTCCTGCTTAATCCACATTGTAATAAAAAAACATAATACCCATGTTACCCTCCATTCTGCAAGTGAGACTAATTTTAATTCCTTATTTATAATAATTTGACAGCTATATTCATGTATTTTTATTAAGTATGCATAACAGTGGCATAAGATTATTGGAAAGTTATTCAATAGGAAATACACAGATTTTATAATCTCCTGGTGACTTTATTTTAACTTTTATGTCCTAATTGGAAAATCCAGAAAGGCTGGGTTTTCATAAAGAAAGGTAACCTTATGAAGGGAGAGCGATTAGGTTTATGGGGCAATACATAACTAATTAAACATATATTTGGAAATTCATATGGTTTGGAATAGTAACTGCACTTGAGGCATAATGTGAGAGTTTACTCTTTGTTCTTAAAGTTGATTCTTTAAACTAATTAATTGCATACCAGTTACTGTACCCATTTGAGAATGAGGTCCTCCTGGGGAACCTGTAGTCTGTAGGTGGAAAGACATGGGAGGAATATAAAATGAGTGATGGCAGTGTCTGTTTTTCATCTGGGATAGTCTTTTTGTCTACTGGAATCCTAAGACGTTGATATGTGAAGCTTCTGTGTACCCCGAGCATAATTATGTTATAATGTGTTTCTAATTTAAAATAAACTTATGATAGGTAAAACTACAAGGGTCTATTATAAGTAAGCACACTCAAAATCTGTCTTGTGTGGTAATCTTTTAAGACCTCTGATTTTCATAGTTCCTTAAGTGTGGACACTACTGTTGACTTTAATAGTTAAAAACAGAAAGAGTCAAGAAATGCTGCATCTTGCTGTTGCAAACTTTTTATTTTCAATACTATATTAGAGGCGGATAAATAACTAGTATAGTATGGTTCGGTCCTTGCACCTGTACTCTTCAATATCTTCATTGGTGACTTGGATGTGGCTGTGAAGTGTACTCTGTCCGTTTGTGGACAGTACTAAATTGTGGGGTGAAGTGCGTGCTCTGGAGGGTAGGGAACAATTGCAGGCAGACTGAACAGGTTGGAAAAGTGGGCAGAACACAGTAGGATGCAGTACAACAAGGACAAGTGCAGAGTGCTGCACCTAGGGTGCAAAAATATCTAGCACACCTACTGGCTGGGAAGTGACCCTCTCAGCAGCACAAAAGCTGAAAGGGATCTCGGGGTCATAGTGAATTCCAAGATGAACATGAGTCGTCAGTGTTACTAAATCATCAGCAAAGCTAACCACACTTTATAATGAATCAGCAGATACATGACAAATAGAACCAGGAAGGTGATATTTCCCCTCTGTGGCATTGGTCAGACCACAGTTGGAGTACTGCGTTCAATTTTGGGCATCATACTTCAAGAAGGAAGTTGATAGACTCAAGAGGGTCCAGAGGAGAGCCACTCGTGTGGTTAGGGGCTTACAGAACAAGCCCTGTGAGGAAAGACTAAGGGACCTGGACCCCTTCAGCCTCTGCAAGAGAAGGCTGAGAGGTGATCTTATGGCCGTCTACAAATTCATTAGGGGGACGCAGCAAGGGATCGGAGACGCTCTGTTCAGCAGGGCACCTCTTGGGGTAGCAAGGAACAGCAGTCACAAACTGGCAAAGAGCAGATTTAGGCTAGATATCAGGAAAAACTTCTTCACAGTAAGGATGCCAAAATTTGGAATGGGCTTCCAAGGGAGGTGGTGCTCTCCCCTACCTTGGGGGCCTTTAAGAGAAGGCTGGATAGGCATCTGGCTGGTGTCATCTGACCCCAGCACTCTTCTGCCTAGGCAAGGGGTCAGACTCGATGATCTGTTGAGGTCCCTTCTAACCCTAGCATCTATGAAACTAAAGAAATTTCTGGGTGAAATATTTATATTTTAAAAATAAATAAAATGCATAAATACACAAACAGGAGTTGCCTGACTTTTATAAGCTAGGATGACCAAGGAAGAGGGGAAAATAACTGAAGTGTTTTGGCACAAGTCATCAAATAAGACCTAGCTCTAATTTTGAGGGGGAGAGGAAAAACTTACACTATCAACTCCTAGAGTCATGCTGTCAGCCCAAATTTAAATATTCATTAGATTTTTTTTTCACTTTTACCTTTATACAGGTACTTGGCAGTATTTACATGTAATCATTTTCACATAATGACAGTTGTCTTTGTGTCTGCCTGTGGTTTAGTCATGATAGAAGTTGATTGCCACCTTTTGCAACCCCTTCAGCTGTCCTTGTAGCTCATACAATGTATTTATGCAAATAATTAAGATTATACTCTTCATTCTATGTTCATAGTTTCCCTGCAGAGGAGAAAACACTACTATAGTCTTAACACTTTAAAACTGAATCTATTTATATAAGGTGTTGCATACATTTTCCCAGGTAAAAAATATAACTGTAGTGAAATCATAGCCTGGAACTACTACTTTGGATATTGTTTTCACAAATACTGGTTTACAGTTACTTTAGTATAGACATTAGAATCTCTGACTAGTCCACCTTATTTATTTATTTTTTTACTCTTTTAAAATGGAGTATATTAGCATTTAAATGCTAAACAGATTTGTCCAAATTGTGCTTTCAGATGCATGAAAATTCTCCCCTGAAGAACTTTTTTGGCAGAAAAGGATGTTCATGTGTATCTGACATGTACAATTAATTATAAATGGCGAAAAAATTAAGAAGCGCATCTGATTTTTTTTTTCAGAAAATCTACCGAATATTTTAAAAAGTAAAGTATTTATTACTAAGCCGCTATACTAAGAGCAATATGTTGTATTAGTGAATCAGAGTAATCTTTTACAAGGGAATAAAGCAGTTTTGCTGCACTAAGAGTATATGATGTCTATTTTAAATGTCTGACCAATGTCTCACTAGAATGGATTAGTGGCTCTCAGCCTTTGATAGCAGTAGTCCTTGTAATCTTCCTCACAATTAATTGAAACCCCCTCACTTAGAAATAGGGTAAGAGGATTGTGACCCTCTGTGTCAACATTGAGGATCTTCCAGTTCCAAAAAGTAGGATGCAGTATTTCTGAAATTTCATCTCTGATAACGTTATAAAATGATGCATGCAATTCAGCGTTTGTTATGACTGGCTCTTCCTGAGGTTATGTAAGTTACCTAAAAAGATTACTAAAAGAAGGAAAAAAGGTGAAGGAGGAAAATAATTATGTGAATCAGTGAAATTCATTTAAATTTACTATTCACCCTAATATATTCTGTTTCTTATAATAACTACTGCTATATTTTAGGCATGAATTGCTTGAAGAAGCTAGAAGGCAAGGTCTACCTTTTGCACAATGGGACGGACCTACTGTAGTTGTGTGGTTAGAGGTAAACAATCCCTTTTAAATGTAAACTATTCTATATAGTCTTGTAGCATAAGATTTGGGGGAAAAATATAAAATTCCATTTGTATCCTATTTTTTGTTTGCCAGTTATGGGTGGGAATGCCAGCGTGGTATGTGGCTGCTTGTCGAGCAAATGTGAAAAGTGGTGCTATCATGTCAGCCTTGTCTGATACAGAAATACAGCGTGAAATTGGAATCAGTAATCCTCTACACAGATTGAAACTGAGGCTTGCCATTCAAGAGATCATGTCCCTAACAAGTCCATCTGCCCCTCCTACATCACGAACGGTAAGAAACGTTGGAAGTAACTTAATACATTGTACGAGAAAAATCACTGTTGAAACAGAAGAAAACATATTTTGCTTTAGTAAATGTTGGGGCTTCATAAATTAAATTGGGGCTCATAAATTAAACTGAGCAGCAGCACAGGTAGATAATTTTCTTTTTCATGTCAAATAACAGTTGTAAGATTTTATAATCCGTTCATTGCTAAAACATTTAGTAATGTAAAGCAAATGCTATACAACACTGTAGATAAGTAAAGAAATATATTGGATTTTTAGTAGGCGTGCTGGTTTTCAGCTCAGCATGGCTACATTTGTCAGTGTCAGCTGAAGTATTTAGAAAACGTGTAATTTGACAAGTTTATTTTGCAAGTATTGTTGGCCGAAATAAATTGTAAAACAAGGAGTGATTTTTAATTTACGATCTCAGAAAGATAGTGTGATATCAAAGTGTATGTGGTTCAGAAAATAAACTACTAAGCAAATAAAAGGGCTGATACAGTTTTGAGTCATGAAAGCATCTCAGTCCCAGGTTATTTTTCTCTGATCCTACAAACTGTATCATGTAGATAAACCGTTGTTGACTGCAGTGTCCCGTATCTGTACATGGCTGCAATATCCTATAAGGAAATAAACAACTGCTGCAGAGAAATTTGTTCGTGCAGCTGCTACCAACTCCTAACAAAAGTAGAACAGTTTATCAGAAGACGAGAGTTATTAAACACTCTGGTTTCCATAATGCCACAGTGTATCTGAAAATATAAACAGTTCTCTAATTTGAAGTATAGATTCTCCATAGATGATTCTAATTAGATGAAAATTTGCTAATAGATTTATACAGATGTGGAAGAACTGCAGTAGTAATTGCATCTCAGCTTTTTGACCAAGATCAAGTTCTATTGCTATATATGACAACACTAGATTCTCAAATGAGTTAAGTGCAGTCTCATGCAGGGTCTCATCATGCATTCTTACCACACCTGATCTTCTGTTCACTGTAAAGGGGATTCATATAGGTCCCAAGTTCAGAGGATTAATTTGACTTTATTGTATTGTTTTTTCTGTAAACCTTTGAATGGAGTACCTACCTGTGTGGAAAGTCAAAACTGTTTGTTTATTGATAATTTTGCTAAAGCGCATGTGACACATCTAGTAGATCAAAATTTGTCTTTCCAGTGCAAAGATTGAATAAAAGAAAGCTTATGAATGTACAGATGTAGAAGAATCTGTTGCTTGGCTTTTGTTAAAATATTGGCCAGAGGCACACTGACAGAAATTGTATAGTTAAGAACAAATAGATGATAAAATGAGGGCAGGAATTATTTAGATGCTTTTGAAATTTTTTGCATAACACTAGATAGCTAACTATGCAGTGCTATCCAAAATATCATTTTGGGTTGTGTTGCTATGAGCCAGCTAATTTAGAACAAGCTCAGGTCAGTGTATATCTTAGAGTGTAGTAGTTGTCAGAATTTATGATTACATTGGTAAAATCTACTTAATGCACTTCATGGTTTGTTAAATGATCTCTGAAGGGAGGTGTCCATGTCAGTGGGCTTTTATTCTTCATTATCATTTTAAATAAATGTTAAATGTAAAACTTTAGAAACCATTGCTTTTGCCCATGCCTGCTCCTTATATGTACCTATTGCTTATATATTCTGCAACCTTTCCTCTTTGTTACTGCTTTCCTTTCATTGGATGTGATTGATTCACTGTGGGGTCATATTAGACCACGGGAAATGTCTGGGTAACACATGAAGAAATGGAAAATCTTACAGCCACACCACAAACGGTTAGTTACAGCACTGCCACTTCTGTTCTTTAGAGTGCTTTTCCCACTTTTCTGAATGCTTGAATCGTGTCTCTCTCAATCTCTTAAAATAATAACAGTTTTAAAGCGAGTTAAATTCTTTAGGATTATAACTTTCTTTAGTTACTAACCTTGTGTGAAATTATAAATTGCATCGTGTTATGCTTTTTCAGTAGGGGGGAAAAAAAATCTCAATTCTTAATATAGGCAAAATGTTTGGAGAACTCTTTCTGGATTTCATAAGTGGGGATTACCAAAATCTTTACTTATTTTGCTGTGGAGGCCAGTTCAGTGATTTGCAAACATTTTTTTTTCCCTTTACAGAAAATCTAATCAGTGCAAGGGTTTTCCTACTTCCATGAAAACTGATTTTGGGGGGTTTTTTTGTTTTTAATGCATGGTACTTGCATTCTTTAGCTCTTTTTAGTGCGTCATAGTTGATTCAATTCTACTACACCCTTGAAATAGTTTCATTACTAAATTTAAATACTAACATTTGTGTGTTCTTTTGCTTTTCTAACCACATAACATCAGGAAGATGAGGAGGGAAGCTGGGCTCAGGTTGGAAATTTTACACAATATATTATACTATATAAGTAAACCATATGCAATTAGAGCACAAAAAATCTTTATTTTGGTGTGTATTTTTATAATATAGTTTTTATCGATAGTAAAAAGCTTTTAAACTATCAATGCATATGTGAAAAAGTCTACTAGCGAGTCATCAAGGTATGTTATAGCTCTTTAAGACCTGCCAACACTTCATGCTCAGATTTGAAAAACTGGGGGCGGGAGTTAATTGCCATGCAGCGGACACTGCAGAGACTATAAATAAAAAAATGTATTGTGTTTTCTCTTATTACTAAAACTACTGAATAAAACATTAAGCATCCTGCTATTGTTAGAATGTTTGTGTTTATCTTTATTGGACCAGTCTATAATTGGGATAGCTCTTGGGCAGGTTCTTGGGCATCAAGTACCCTTACTCAGGAAGTGCAACCCGAGGAAGGGCATTTAATACCTAAAATATTGTCCAACAGTTCTCCCAGCTAAGTAGCTGGTCCAGTAAAATATGCCACACACATCTGTGCCTCAGATGCTTCCTGGCCTATTATGGCCAGTGTTATGGTTAGTCATCTGATGCACTTGTTCTCTAGTTTGCAAAATCACAAAAAATAGGAAAACTATTACTTAACTGACGTCTGTGACATTGGATTTGTTCTTTTGTTCAAACTACAATGTTTGAAAACCATTTTTAAAACAAAATAACTTTGGTCTCTAAAGCCTGAAGGTTTGTGGCAAGTTAATGGTTCAAGAAAAATACCTGCCTGCTATAGGAACCCTGTTCAGCCTCATCACTAGCATAATCACTATCCTTCAGGGATGCTCAGCAGTCCAAGCCCAGCATATTTTTGTGTTACCTGTGTAGTCCATGTTGGACAACTGTTTTGCCTTAAAGCTCTGATAAATCCTCTTTGTACCTTTTAAAGTAAGGATGGATAAGTGTCCAGAAGTATAGTCAATCCTCCTTTATGTATAAGAAATGGTAAATTTTGTAATTGACAAAGGCTGCTGTCTGACCCATATATTTGAATTGTACTGTATCTCATTTCTTGGCTAGACTAGCACAGAGTTCTTATGGAAATGATAATACTGTATTTAGTTGAATACAAGATGAGCCCTCCCCCCACCCAGGGCTTTTTCACCCTGGGGAGAAAAAGCCCATTTGCTTATAGCTACATGCAAAGAAACCTCATTACACACTTTGCCTATCATTAAACTACTGCCAAAAGCAGCATTTGCTTAGTAATGGAAACTAACCATAAAGTTAATTGAATGCAGTCCACACTGTCCATGCCTGTAAAACACATGGCCATGTCCCACATTGCCGGGAGTTCCCTCCACAGGGAACTAGCACCAGGCCTGGAGGTGCTACAATACCAGGCCAGCACCAGAAGGACCAGAGGCAGCCTCCCTTTGCAAAAACGCTACATTTAATCTTAGCTGATAGGTCCAGATGCCAGTGATAATGTACCACAAGGATAAATTGGTGCATCCCATCTGAATAAGATAAATGGCAGTTGCCATTGAGCATACTCCCATTCACCGCTGACTTTTCCAAGTCATGGTGAGCAACTACCTTAAATAACTTTTGCCTTCCTCTTCACAGCTGAGCTGTGCCTTTCCCTTTTCCTGTGATTCCAGTTTTTTTCACCAGTTTTCAAAGTCTGACAAACATCACTGAATGTGGGGTCCCAAACAGTTCACCCAAATCCCTCTGTCACTTCCTCAACCTATCACATTTCGTTAGTGTGGCCCTGTCCTCCATAAGGTAGAGCTGGACCAGGTTGCCCTCTGCCACATCTGCATATACATTTTTGGAGGCTCTTAGGACTCATGATGAGAACATCTGGTTCCAGTCATGAATGGGGGTGGGGCTAATTGGCAGATGGCTGTTTTGTGGGGGCTGTCTGGAGAACACACACATACTGAGCAGTGCTGAGCTGTGGGGTCACCATGGCTTAAAACGCTGTTGACTCTGTTGGGGCCCAGCCCAATGAACTGTATGGTAAATCATGAGCCTTCTGGCTTTGGACTGATGTCAGGCATCGTTTGTACTATATATAAGTAGGTGCCAAAGTGTTACTTAAGTGTGCTTCAAGTTTTAGTACAGGTATGCTTCAGGCAGTTTCAAAAAGATAAAATGTATCAATTCTGGAAGAACTAAGTCTGTGGGTACTATATGAAAAATACTAGAGGCATATTTATTTCAAGGCCAGTGTTTTTCAAATTTGCCCCTCACTTCTTTGTGCATGTGGAGAGCAGGATCTGATGGTACAAGGGGGGAAAGGGACTGCAGGGAGAAGTTGGGTGGGAAAAGGTAAATCTGACCCTCCAGATTTGTCCCTCTCCCGCTGCTACAGCAGGGAAGACGCATTCATGGCCAACCTCCAATAATTAGATTCTGCATCTGGAAATTTATAACCAATGTTATAAATTTTGCATTTGTAGAATCCTAATTAGGGTTCATCTTGTATTCCGGTAAATACGGTAGTTCTCATTTTTCCCCTTTCATGAAAGTACATGTTGGGGAGTTAGGGGGTAGAATTTTCAAAGGTAGAAGAACATGTTTAGTAGTATAATTCGCAATTGCCTCTTGGACAAATCTGGAAAACTTTTCAGTGGAACTGTTTAAGACTGTTCCATGCCTTGTAGAATAAGGAGTAGCAGTTAAAGCTGTGAGTCCATAGCATGGTATATCATATGGGGGATTTATTTATTTTTAACTAGCATAAATTCCACAAAACTCCTAATGTGTTCATATTCCACAGCGAGGTGTTTTTTTTAACTTTGTGATTTGTCATAAGAAATATAAAACTATACTATACCACTTTTATAGGGTTTTTTCATTTTTTTTTCATGAGACATGGTGTATTCATCTTTTGTGAAAATAAAGCTCTAAGTTATATTGTCGTGATACCAAGGCTCATGAAGGAACTGAATTTGAGGAATGTGCAAAAAATTCATCAAAAAGTGACCAGAAATCAATGGAAAGTTTACTTACTGCTTCTGAATATCAATACTCCTTTTTTTCCTAAGGATTCTTTAATTTAAAAAAAAAAAGTAGTAAAGTGGCATATTTCAACTCAACCCTTTCAAAGCTGCTTTTTTTACAAACTAATAAAGTTAGTTATAAGTTTTGCCTTTCCTTTAATTCTGAATTATCAAAGGAAAGCTTATAGTTAGGATCTTTTTGCCTTTTGAATTGAGTAAATTTACTTTTAAATCTTACCTTTTCAAAAACAGACTTTAGCATATGGTGATATGAACCACGAGTGGATTGGTAATGAATGGCTCCCTAGCTTGGGGCTCCCTCAGTATCGCAGCTACTTCATGGAATGTCTCGTTGATGCTAGAATGCTTGATCACTTGACTAAGAAAGATCTCCGTGGACAGCTTAAAATGGTTGACAGTTTTCACAGGTAAAGAGAAAATAAATATTCATGAGCTCACACTCCTCAGTATATACTTCAGCTGTTATCTGACATCTGTTTTCTTTTCTAAATAGGAATAGTTTCCAGTGTGGTATTATGTGTCTGCGAAGATTAAATTATGACCGAAAAGAACTTGAAAGAAAAAGAGAAGAAAGCCAGAATGAAATAAAAGGTTAATCTCATTATAAGATGACTCAATTTTTATTATTTAAATAAACACAATTACTTTAATTTGGAAGGCGTCTCTTTCTCAGGGTCATAGACGTTTCAGGTGCAAGATGTTTGATAGTAGGGTCTTGTCATCAACAGTTCATTGGCTATGGAATCACCCATGTGCACATAGCTGTTAAAACCTGAGCTTTTACTTATTTTTTAAAAAATCACCCCTTATTGTTCTGAAGGAAATCTGGGATATGTGAACCAAAGAAACTTGCAACATTTTATTTTAAAAGACAACACCTAAACTGACAGTTGTCCCCATTTTTCTGTATTGTTTTTCTGTGTTGTTTTGAAATGAACTCTGGATTCTAATGGCTGTGTTACTGTTCATGAATAAGTAACTAGTGCATTACTGATCTTAATGACAAGCATCTCTCTGACATTTTTCTATTGTTGGATTCACTGATGAACATAAAACAGAGGATAGAAACAGAAGTAGAAAATGGGGCAATGGCTTAAACACTCTCATAGAAGAAAATAATCCTCCATTTGGGAAGAGGGATTTTTATCTTTTTTCCCCATGCCAAAAGCCTTAAGCACCATCTTGGGCATCAGCTATCCAGATTTTCACAATTCTTTGTACCTCCCCTATTGTCAAAAGCCTCAGTTACTATTCTCCAACTCTTCAAATACTTTCTTTTCTTTTCCCTCTTGACATTCAGAATGACTATGCATATGCCAGTTATCAGAATGTGTTTTCCCCCCTCCCTTTCTCTTTTAAACAATTTTTTAAATTGGGTATATATTAATAGCAGAATCTTCACAGTAGTTTTATTATAAAAGTCCTCCCCAAACTTGAAACATTTTAGGTCATTTTCTTCAGTTTACTATGTGTGGGGTTTTTTTTTTAAGTTCTTTCCTCTCCACACTAACTCAGTTACATAAAGTAGAAGTAGCAGAAAGCCACAGATCATGTTTATAGAAGGAACAAAGCATCAGAGTTCAGGAAGCGGATGCATAAGAGCTCAGATATATTTAAACAAGTTGTTTCAAATATGCCATGGAATTTATATTTATTTAAAAAAAAACCCCAAACTTCCAAGTGTGAACTAAAGAAACTAATGGTGTTTTCATTGTCCTAATTTTGCTGTTGTATTATCTCTGGAGTTTAATGGTTATACTGCTGTCACAAATGTTTCTTTCTCTTTAAAAAAAACAATAGGTATATTGGGAGGGAGTGGGAGAGGTGGCTGAGCTATTTCCCACCACTACCCAGTGTCCTCCCTTAAAACACAACATTCAGTAAGCTACAATATGTAAAGGGTGTGACAGAAAACAGTTTTCTCCCTTGTTTTAGAGAGGAATCTTGTGTTACTGTATTTACTCAAATATAAAACACAGTTTCTTTCTCCTCCCCCTTATCTCCCCCTTCAGCTGAGGTTGGGGGAAGATTCTTTGTCTTGGATTTGAGTACAGGAGCCGGGGGTGGCCTGCAAGTAGCTGCTGCAACTCTTATTCCAGCCCTGACCTGATTTTGTTCTCAGAGCTACAGCTGCTGCCTTCATCCCACCCCCTGCACCTGCCCCTTGCTGCTTCTGTTCCCCTGCTGTTACCTACCCTTTGTTTTGGCTCTGGCACTTTTTTTTTGACCATTTTAACTGTAGCGTGAAATGAACTCACTGTCAAATTAAATAAGTTACTATATAAGGGTATAGTTGGGGCTTTACTGCTGACTGCCTGAGTGACAGACTGACCCTCTACCAATAAATTGTAGATTAAATGAGACTAGTAACTATATGTTTATATATGGGTTTGTTTTTGTCTTATAGATGTACTTGTCTGGAGCAATGACAGAATGATCCACTGGGTACTGTCAATTGGTCTTAAAGAATATGCAAATAACCTTATAGAAAGTGGAGTTCATGGTGCACTTGTGGCCTTAGATGAAACTTTTGATTATAATGCATTAGCTCTATTGTTACAAATACCCACTCAGAACACGCAGGTAATGCTTATGGTAACTTGATGACTTCCTACACGTGTTAATAAAATATGCTATCCTGTCTAGTTGTTTTTATGAAAACAAATACAGAATTTTAAATATTTGAAACTTGTTTTTAGTCTCTTCTACCAGATACTGTCAGGCATACCAGGGTTGTTTTTTTTTTAATTCTTATATTTTCCATTATTTATGCTGTATGTTCTAATTAACTTATATTTCAACATGAGTGGTTTTAGGATTCCGATAGAGGGGTTTGGCACACCACCTTTCAGACCACAGGGGTGAGATGTGGCTGGCACCCTGAGGCTGGCTTGAGGACGTTGGGGATCTTGGCAAAGAGTAGGCTCTGTAAAAGGGGATATGCCTGCTGCCACTGCTCTTGGCCAAGTCTGCACAGCTGGTCTCTGTAATCTTGTGGTGAAATGGGGCAGGAGTGGCTCTGTGGTTCCCCCTGTGCCTGCAGAAGTGGAGGAGGTAGGGGAGGGAAGGAAGGGGTTCTTCCTTCCAGTGCCCGCTGCCATCTGTTGTGGGGAGCAGGGGGCAGGCAGAGGAAGACAAAAACCCCTGCTGCCAGTGTCCCCTTCTGAGCCCAGCATGCTGCCCAGCTGCAGCTCAGTGCCAAAAGAGGGCTGGAGTGGTTCTGGGGGCTCCCCCTGTGTCTGGATCAGCTGTGGAAAGTGGCAGTAGTGGTGGAGGAAGGGAGATGTGACGACACCTTTGCAGCCTCCCTAGATTCACCCTTGTATTTCAAACAAGAGTTGGTTTTCTTTTGGTTTATCTTCTCTAAATTGACGTATCCTTTATTTATCAATTGTTTATTTTTTTAATTGCACCTGTGACATGTTTTTTTGCTTTACAAAGAAAAACTTCCTTTGCCAGAAGTTTCATTGTCACTATTTCATTTTCAGTTTGATAAAGTGAGTTTGTCCATTACAGATACAGTAGCTGATAACAGACAAGGTTCTTTGGATAAATGTGATATATTTTATTAGACTAAATAGTTGGAAAAATTGTTCTTTGTAAGCTTTCAGGCATAAATACCCTTTTTCAGGTGTAGGGAGAGTCTAGCTTATGATGACTATAGGGAAAGTCTAGCTGATGACTACATGTCAGGATTTAATTCTGTTTAAATTCTTTAGAAAGTAAGTTGCTGTAACTTGGCAAAGACTAAATTAATGCTGTACTAAAGCAATAATAGTGTTAACACAAATTCATTTTAAAATGTGTAGATGGTAGCAATTTTAAAGTGATAACATGATTTTGTATTACTAGCTTTCAAGACTAATGTCATTGTGTTTTTGTTTTTTTTAAATTTAGGCTCGTGCTGTTTTGGAGAAAGAATTCAATAACCTTCTTGTTATGGGCACTGACAGAAGACTTGATGAAGTAAGTCTGAGCTATTGGTCTGTTCTACTTTGCATTGTGGAGAAGTGTGAATTCTGATCTATTTCTTCTATTGAAGTGAAGAAATTTGGCTTCTGCAAAAGTAGCCTCTTAATAATTAAGCTATTAATACACCAGAATATATTGTTATATACTATTAGTAGAGTATAAATTGTTATTGCTAAGTAAGCTTCTCCCAGATAGCTCTTCCCAAGTACCTCATTCGTAACCTGTGAATTTTTTTTTCTGGTAGGCCTCTTTGTAATTACAAAGCATAAATGTAGGAAGATTGCTAAACTTGCATAATTTTTGTAACTAATTATTTTATGCAGTAAATGTACTGTAAAAGGGCCCATAATGCAACATAAGGTATTTTAAAGCAATGTAGGTAAAAATGACATGACTCAGTTTTGCTCTAAAATTGAGAGTTAATAAGGCTTATTGTACAATCACATTTTGGTTGCTTGCATAGAGAAGTCACTTGCAGCAATAAAAATATCTTAATAAGCTTATAAAACATGGTCAAAGTGTAGAGGATCAGAATGGTTAAATGAAAAGATAGAAGTGAGATGATCAAATTTTGAAAACAGAGCAAGAATGAAACCTACTGAGGATGGGATTATACATATGTTCAGGTCAAAGCACATCCTAAGCGAACAGTCTGATTGAGGGTTTGTTCATCTTCTGAGGTGAACAAAGTAGTAGTATATTTTATTAAGAAATGACTGTTCTGTGCTTGAACCTGTGGAGGGATTTTAGGACCATTTAAAACAGTGGGAGCCAAACTTTTTTGAAAACCGTGCCACAAATTAGCCGTGCACATTCCCTGAGTGCCATTCCAATCCCTTTCCTCTATCCAATCCGTTGCTCTGCTTTCTGCTTCATGCCGCTTTTGCCACCATGTTGCTTGTCCCCTCCCAGTTCTGCTGCGTGCTACGTAGAGGCTGCCTGTGCCACCCCTGACTTAAAGCATCTCAGAGGAAGTGGATTTTCCCTATACATTCTGTAGTGAGAATGTTTACTGAGCACTTGTATCCAGCAAAATAAGATGTTATCTAATATTAGAGTATTCTAAAGACTCAAGAGTATAGAGATGTATGAAGAGCATTGGAATGCTCTTCTGAGGCCATGTAATATCTAGGAAGATAGGAGCGAGTCAGGCCTTCTCCTTTTTTCTAGTTTTGAATATTAGCATTGTTTTTAGAGTCCTGCTTTCAGTAATTTAGGTTGTGTGCAGGTGATATGTTTGTAGTGCTACAAAGTTTGCAGCAAAGTTTACACAGACCCACCCCACCCCCAGTGAGCCCATGCTGCCACTTACAGGGAGCCCCCTCTACCTTGCTGCTGAACTGCTTCTGTTCGATTTAATAATCCCACAGTGCTTGCAACTGCAGAGCCAGGCATGCTGGTCAGTGGTGTGCCTGGCTTCCAGACTGCAGGTGCTCTGGGATCTTTACAGGGTGAGCAAGTGGCTGAAGAGAGCAGAGAGCAACTGTCTCTCCATCTGGGGACACTGACAATGGCAGCTGTGGCCCAGTTGCCACCAGGCAGCGATAGGAGCAGGGCAGCCTGCAAGCCTCCCTGACAGCTCACCCATGGATGAACTGACAGAGAGGCAGATGCTTGCCCTCCCTCCCTTTCCCTTGGAGGGTGGGAAGGAGAGCAGAACTATACAGGACTGTCTGAAGTAAAACCAAAACAAAACTCCCGACTTCTTAGTACAGTAGTTGTAACCAGTAGCAAGTAATGTAACAAGTAGAATATACCCTGAATGCTAGGGACTCTAGATGAGAAGTGTCTCTTTCAGAGAAGATACAAAACCCACAGGCTTGCCAAAAATAGCTTTAATAGCCACAGATGGTACTTTTTGTAAGTACTGACACTAGCTTTCAGGCAGAATTCCAGCTTGGATAATTGCATATTGTGTAGAAGTGGAGCATAATAGCTACAAGAGATGGTTGCACCTCACTAGTAAACGAATGATTCTTTTTTAAATCTTTTAGGTAGTCTGGAATCATTCAGAAAGAAAAGGTGTTATGTAATTGCTTCATTTATCTCCTCCTCTTCCAACTTAGAAAACATTTTAATACAAATTCTAAACATTTGTCTCAGTTATCTGTTGAGACAGGATGAGATTCCGTGGTATACCTCAGAAGCACCACAGGGAACTTGCAATCCCAGGAGAGGGAATTGCTATAGTTGCTTCAAGCTACCTTTGACTTCTCTAAGTCCTTGGTGTTAACTTAGATGAATCTTGTAATGAACATTGAGATACCACAGGGTTCTACTTAGTGAGGATAAAAACCATTCATCGATACATACAAACTGTGATATGTATCTTTTTCTTACCAGATATTATTTCATAGGTGTGGCAAAATGTCATATTTACTGGGTGCAGTGTCACACACAATTCAAATATAGTTTAAGATGTGAATATGCTACCAGGGAGAAACTGTTTAAATAGGGGGTGCATTCTGTTCCAAGTAGTTGAAAAAAATCTATTCACTTTAAATGAAACAGTATATAGGTGAGGATATACAGATAACTTCTGCACTTCAGGTTTTGTATTTGTTTTCTTTTAGAAGTCAATCCATTTTCTGTGATCTTTGTATCCTTATGCTATATGTCAATATAGGTACTCCAGCAAATATGGAATTTGAGACCAAAATGGATGTAACTATTTATTAGAAACCAAAAAAAACTGCACAGATGGCTGTTAAAGTCACTAAAACATTTTATTATCTGTCCCTCTTACATCATTTTCATTTACTTTTTGCTGCTAGATTATAAAACATTTTAACGTCACAGATTCTTAAGCGTAAATAAACATTAATGCACAGTGAAAATAATGGGTGCCATTATTGTATCTTCCAAGAGATGCTAAGCATACTGGTTTCCACAGACCTTTTTGGAATTGAAGGGCCTCCATTCTGGAAAATTGGTATGCATCACAAGTTATTTAAAAAAAAAAAAAAAAAAAAAAGTTTTCTTTCCATTTATGTACGTAAAATTTAAATGATCAGGTTTGTGGAAGCTGTTTAATTTTGATTTCTTCACAAACTCTGGTCTAAATTCTAGGGCTCAAGCCCTGAAAATTTGGGCCGTGATGCCTATTACTCCATTACTGACATTGCATGAACTTCAGCTTGTGACATAATTGCCAGCTTTAAAAATTACTGATGATACTCCTCAATCTGACAGGATGATGATAAAAGCTTTAGACGAGCACCTTCATGGAGAAAGAAGTTTAGACCAAAGGACATAAGAGGTTTAGCTGCTGGATCAGCAGAGACTCTCCCTGCAAATTTCAGAGTTACCACCTCAATGTCTTCACCCTCTATGCAGCCAAAGAAGATGCAAATTGATGGTACGTAAACAGCTTTTTTGTTATATTGAGCATGTTGGAATTTGTTTGTAGTGATTCCATATCCAGAATATTTCTGCCTTACGCATGCTTGTATGTATAAATCTTTTCATTTTAATCATATATATTTGTAATCACTTGTGAACGTTCTACAAGACGCACAGTTCCTTTTCACTTCACTTTGTTTGTTAAATAAAATTGTAAAATATCTTCTTATTTAGGAATACTTAGTTTCCATATCTCTGACTGGAAGCAAGGTGACATGCCACCAGAATTTTCATACATTTTTTGTACCTCCTTAAAGGTGTGGACACTGGCTGTAAATTTTCTAATCTGTATGAATAAAAATACAGTAAAGCCAGTTTCTTAATTCATTAAAATAATAATTCATTATTGGAAAAGAAAGGAAATAGTTACTACGTACATATTTGATGTTATCTTTATAAATTCTAGTACTAGTGTGTATATAATTACATACTAGTAAAAGGCATGGCTTATTTGTGAGCCGCTTTAATTGAAATAAAAGTTTTCAGAAATTATGTTAATAATATCATTCAGTCCACTGATGAAGGGCCTCATTAAGAGTAGATATAACCCAGGGTTGTTTTGAGTTTTGCTTTTCTAACTTACACCCTTTTAGAGTGAATTTATATGGTAGTTGCAATCATGTTGCTGTGTGGATTGGTTTTTAAGACTAACATGCATGCTGTGTTCTGCATGTCTTCCTCCTGTGATTGTTGAAACCAGGCAATGTATCAGGAACACAAAGATTGGATTCTGCTACAGTAAGGACTTATTCCTGTTAAAGCCTTCTGTTGGTAAGTAAAATTGACTGGTACAGAGTAAAACAAGTAACTTTTTAACTTAAAATTTAAATTAGTCTTTTCCAAAAATTATTAATAGCTAAATACAAAATACTTTTCTGTTTACAATATAAAATAATACATTGAGATTTCTGAGCCTGTTTCCTGTAAATGTAGATAAGGCTGTCATTTATGCAATATTTTAAAAGTTAACTTGCAGAGCAAATGTTATGGCATGTTCCTTTAAAATACTGAAGGTGGTTCTTTGCCAAAAGAAAAAAAAAGAATAAAATGGAGATTATTTGGTTCATTCTTTATATTATAAAATGCATTTTTTCCCCTGAAAGAATCCATAGTGCCATCTGGTCCATTTAGAATAATTATGACTTCATAGATAATGAAAAAATGAACTTTAGTTTGACAGGAGATATGATTGATTTTTTAAAGTATTGTAGGGCAGAATAATATTGCTTTCATCTATGGCTGGTAGATAGAGGGTAGCCATATTAGAGGAGTAAGGAAAAATGGAGAGGGAGAGTTGTTACTGTAAAGGTAGATACAAGGGATAGTCTGCTAGAAAAGAGAGAAGGTTTCTAGTATAGAGCATCATGGGTGGGGGTACCTGTATTTCTAACCTTGCCTTGATTTTCTGAGTGCATTTTACCAGCGTATGAATGAGGGTTTCTGCCACCGTTTTAAGATTGAAGCCCATGATTCTCTTACTTATAGTTGTGTACCCGCTATGATTCCTTAGCAGGTCTGCCTGAATTTGGTTAGTCGGTTCTTTTGAGACCTGACTTGTTCAACAGTAGAAGCTTGCTATACCAAGGGGAAAGTGTTTTCAGTGGAATTTGTGTACACATATGTATTTTCCTTAAAGCCTTAGATAGGCCCATCTTATTCTGGAGGCCCTGAACACTAGGACTGGGGTTCAGTCTGAATCCTAGTAGTCATTTTCTTTCTTTGCTTGTATTCTTCAGGGATCATCTGTTCAAAGCACTCCTTTTCTAGCTTAGATCAGTTTTGCGGTTACATACATGGACTGTTCCCTTTGCCAACTTTTTAACCCATTATCCTCAGATGTACTTGTTCTAAGCCAATGACCTCTTTACAGGGCTATCTGAAAATGCCTTCTTCCCTACATATTTGCAAGTAACCCTTTGCAGCCCTAATCAACTATTAAGCAAACAAATAGGATACACAGTATATGCCTTTACATTTTCAGGCAGCTTCCATGACTTCAAATTTCCTTAAATCATATGAAGAGGGGATGGATAACAGGAACCATAGGTGAGGTGCTATGACATTGTGGTAGTGCCCTGAAAAGCTTGGTGAAGCTTTCAAGTAAGTTAGATTAGGGTATGGGAAAGTTTGGAAAGAAAGAATGAACAGAATTGAATAGAGAGGGAAGAGGAGAAATTATTGAAAATGTTGATTCCTGTTAATACATAGGTGCACAAATCATTTTCTGTGTGGCTTGTAGCTTTCCAGATATACGGCTGTAATAGGCATGCAGAAAACACCTTCCAACTGCAATACAGAGAACCCAGTACTCAATTAGATGAGGAACTGTATTAGGGTATAAAATACAAATCCCAAATTAGCCTTTCGGTTGCTATTTTGAAAAACAGATAATTTCAGAAGTAGTCTGATTTTAAGTCCACCACTTCCAAGTTGTAGTCTTTTTCTAGTAGGAATACTGAGTGTTATCTCCACCAAGGGTTAGTTATGGCCTGCAGGCTAGATCTGGTCCATGGAGTCATAAGAGACTCTGCCTGTTTCTGTGTCCATGGTAGGGCCAGGTTGCAAGGAACTGTGCTATACAGCTTGACAACTAGAAGCTTTGACCCCACTTCTGCCACTCCCCTAGGCTCCTGTTGCCTGGCTACATACAGCATAAGAGCAGCTGGAAGATGGAGGGGTACAGGGGCAGGGAGAAATGGTGGCAGCTGCCTAGTTGTGGTGCTGCTCCTCACTTGCTGGAAGCTGCATCTGTAGGGATTATGAGGCGGAGGAACTGGGGCAAGCGGCAATGACACAAGTGCAGCTCCCAGCTGCCTGTCCCTGATACAGAAGCAAGCAAATGCCTCTGCTGCTGACATGCCACCCAGCCAGCATCATACTAGAACTAGATTGTTCTGGTCTGCAGCTTGTTAAAGGCTGCCAGCTGCTGATCTATACTGTTTAAGATGCTTTCAGTGCAAGCTTGCTGGAAGTCATTATGAATAGTCATCAATAATAGTAGGTAAATTTTCAAAGATATGTCTGTGTTTGCAGTCATTATCATGTCAGTAGCTAATGTAGGTACCATGAAACTAGCCTAGATGGACTTTCTTATGCATGGTAGAATGCTGAAAATGAAGCTTGTTGGTAAAGAATGTTGAGAATGAAGGTCCTAAAGACAAAGAATAGTTTAGATTAGATGGATCCATTGATGCTTAACTTGGGTATTTTTAAAACATTTCTTTGTTAAAACACTTCTTCTGATAAATATAAGTTGAAGGTAGTTAGCTTGTGGCCTGAAGACATTTCAGCCAAAAAGTATAGGAAACAAATATAATTGCCTACATCAGTGGTGCTTAACTTTTTTGCTGGCCGAATGTGTGACTTGGGGTTGTTCTGCTAGTCGAATCAGGCTCCACAACGCTTCCCTTAGCCCCAAGGTGGAGGATTGGAGGCCACCCTGCCTCCAGCTGGAAGCAAATCCTATACTAGAAACCCTGTATCCCTGGACAGGCCCCAGGCCACCACCGTGCACAGATCTAGCATGCTGTTTGGCCCACGGGCCTCTCCATAGGTATGGAAACTTGGTGGCAGGGGAGAGTCAATTGCTGCCAACACTCTTCTGCTGTCAAATTTTTGGACCCCTGAAGACCCCTGCAAGGTAGATGGCATGGCTTTGCTGGCGGATCTGGCCTGTGGGCCCTGGTCCACATCGTGCTGTAGTAGTAATTCAGTGCATGAATGCCATAATGATGAGCAGTTTAACTGAAAAACCTAGAATGCAATGTTTGCATGTTTGCTGGGTTTGTTGTTGCTCTTTTGGTTTGTTTTTTTTGTCTTTTGATGCTAAGGATTTTCTTTTTGTGTTTTTGTTTTACAGTTTACCCACACTATTTCTACCGGTGATATGCAGCATTTTGAACTCAGACCATATTTTAGAAATCATTGGAATCTTTAATCTGTTAATAATTGTTAAATGGACACTTTGAAATATTTTATTACAGAGTTTTTAATTAGCAAATGAATTCATGAGTACCATAGAGAAAATATTTTAGAATTAAATGTTTCTTATATTTATGTGACTTCTCATTTATATAATTACTTACCTTTCTGTTTGTATTCAGTCTATAAAAAGAAATCATTGCTGATTTTTTTTTTATCCTTAATTTGT